TGCTGGCTTGGAAACCAGATAACACGAGTGATCAACAAGGCCTTCAGGTTATAAATTAGATTACTTAGAAACTTTTCTATATTCACATTTAATACGACAATTTGCTGTAAAGCATGAAATAAATATGGAGATAGGAGATTGGAGAAACTTGTAAGTAATTTTTGGTTTACAGCTGCTATGCAAAGCTTAATGTTCTATAATTTTCAGTATTCTTAACTTTGTCTCACATGCTTGAGTGTCCAAACTACAGTGAACAATGCAGTTTTCAATTCAGTTAAAAGCCATTTCATGGATCTCATGAATGCCAATATCTGGAAAATAGTGAAGCTGAAAATTTATCAAATTAGTTATTCACAAAAGAGCAACATTTTTTAGTGTCTCTCAACTTAGTTGGATTTCTTAGTAATATGCCCACAAATCTGGGAATTGGACATCCTACGTTTCTGGCAGGTGTCTGATGGCAAATCAAGTTTAAAAAGTGAAACTGCAGTAGACCACCTGATCATCAGTCGAACACATTTAAACTAATGCACAGCAGATCAAGAAGAAGATTCAGACTGGATATTAGGAAACATTTCTGTACTGAGAGGGTGATCAAACACTGGAACAGGCTTTCTAGAGAGATGATCTATGCCCCATACTTGTCAGTGTTTAAGAGGCATTTGGACAATGGCCTTAATAATATGCATTCACTTTTGATCAGTCCTGAAGTGATCAGGCACTTGGACTAGATCATTGTTTTAAGTCTCTTCCAGCCGGAACTATTCTGTTCTATTTGAAGAACAGCTTGCTCTTTTCCCACACTTTCAGCATCTCCAGATGCTGAAATGATTGCCTAGTGGTATGTGTCAATTGTAATAATGATGAGGCATATTGTGTCTTTCATTTGCTTTCTTCAGAAGTGTTTGCTGTCACTAGGACGTGTTTTTGCCTGAGACTTGTAGTTGAACATTTGAGAACAGTGCTTTCGACACCACTCTTCTGTAGAAATAGTGTATTTTTATAGTGAGGGTGGGGCAGTTTTTAAGGCCTTAAAGTGCTTAAAAGTAACAGTTCACAGGAGGACAAACAAGAGAAGATCCATGGCGTGTCTAACTGAAGAAAGGAGTATTCAAAACTCACGGAGGCAGCCATTTCTTCCTCCTCTAAGATCCTGCAAAGAAGTGTTGAATGTCTATTGGAGCAGAGAGACATTTGAGTGTGCACTCCAGCAGTAAAAAAATTCTGAATACATCCCCCCAATATGGATATATTTATTTATTTATAAATTATACAAAAATAGAAATTTAAAAGGATGAAATAAAGATTAAATAAACACTATTTTAATTTTTTTTTCATTTATTAATAGTACAAAAATTATTTTCTTCCTGTACCTCAAAGAACTGTCTTATGCACCCCCCACTTTGGAGACAACTGCCTTGAAGGACTAGTTAGCTTAGCCAAAGAAGTGACTGGGCAAAATATGGAACTGTTTGCCCACAACATCCTTGCATTAGAACTCTTTATCTCAGCTTAAACAGGCTTTTTTTCCCCCCTTAGAGTGATTCTTAGTCTTTCTTTTAGCTTCCACACTACCTGTGTCTAAGGCAAACTCTGCTGATCTTTGTTACTTTAAAGTTCAGATTCTGCATCTGAAATTGATATTTATATATGTTAAATATTGATGTATGATTACAAGAGAGATTCCATCAGTTTCCTGAATAGTGACTCATCTCTTGCATGGTGACTCACTGATGTTATAAAAGCTAATCACTTTAATAAAAATATTTTTAAATAAAGTGATAAGGAAAAAGGAAACCATTGTATACGAAGGTAAAAAGTACATCAACTTAAAATGCTGTAATTTTTTTTTCTTCTGCTGTGATTTTTGTTGTAATGACAATAGTGATTTGCATAATGTTTACCAACATGGGTTTCCTCCTAAGGTATTTTTCAGGTTTTCAGGACAGTGTGCCTGTTGTAAGATGGTACAGCCACTTTGTCCCAACTGGTGCAATGTTTTAATTTTTTTTTTTTTTAAATTTATCACATGTATTGAAAAATGTATTTCTTAAATTCAGTGCCTAATGCTGTATTTTATACTGCTCTGGTTTTTATCTCCCTCTGCTGTTTCTTCCTATATCCCTGTCTTGTTCTGGTGTTTTATGGAGGGAAGGAAAGTAAACAAAACTCTGTGTTTGGAATTTTCTCTTTGGTTACAGCACAAATGAAACTCAAATTAAATTGTAGGGACACTCACGTCTTACATTGTATTAAGCTTGTCTGTATAATTAAGAATTTTTGTATATTTTAGCAAAGCTTAAAGTTAGATTTATTTAATTTGTCTGGCTGTTACTTCAGAATTGGTCAGTCTTTTCAAGGCCCAAACAGTGCTTGTACTCCATTCTTAATATTTTAATATAACTGTCTGATAAATCCAGCAATACTGCAGTTCCTATCTGGATAATACAAATGTCTTTGTAAAGACAGGAAACGACAGTTTAGTTGCCACCCTGAGAGACCATTTGTTTCAGTGACACTCTTTAATTACAGTAAATTTTCTGTGTATGTTTCCACTCCTGAGTTGTACCCTGTACACTCTCACGCTTCACTCTTTTCCAGGCATTGACTGTTGGA